TATTTTATAACAAAAGGCTGTCCTATAGGGACTTCTTTTCAACACGAACTAACAAACCTGCACACACGTAAATGTGCTTTAGAGCTTGGCACAGAGAGTCAAAAACAAAGCCTCTGCTGCTTTAAGGACAACGTATTTTCTTGTATTAGCTTAAGAGAACATGAAAGCTGTCAAAAGAGCTGGTATAGTTTTTCACAATCCTGCAGAATTCATCTTGACCACAAAGAAATATCTGAAAACTCCATCAGAAAGAGAGCACAGATCTTGTTTCCGAAAAAGACAAAAAAAGGCAAGCAATTGAGTCATTGAGTCAAATAGGAATACAATACATTTCCTTGGCATCGCTACTGAATATTTATATCAGTGATGAATGAGACTACAAACGAAATATTTTAACATGAAGCTTTGCCTTGTTAACTGCATGATATGCCAAAACACCACCTACTGTAAATCACAGGGTTTAAGACCAGTATTTCTTGTTTAAACATGCTACTTGTTCAGCAGAATCACTTGTGTGAACAAGCATACATTAATGTACACTAACTAGAGCAGTTTCACTATCCAACTGATAGAGTATAATTTAACAACCTCATTATCAGCATTGTAATTTTCAGACTGCTGAAATATCATATTTGTTGCAAATATTATACGGTTTAAACACTTTAACAACATCACCCATTTGACGCTTCTGTCAGATAAAATGCAGATAGGCACTTGTGCATTGATGAACATGCTTTTAATCCTATAAAGAAACTTTCTCTGTCAAATTAGAGGCATTTCAACACTTGATTTATGAACACCATAATTAAAATCCTTATGCCTTAAAGAAAAACAAACTCTTCATTATAACAACAGCTTTCTTTCACATTTTTATCTTTTAATATTTGGAGTTTGCTTTTATGTGCTGCTATTAGCTATCAGTTCAACATGTCATTACTGGCTGCCAAAACAGGAAAATATTTCTCCTTATAACCTGGTCAAATCTCAAAATCTAGGTAAACACCCAAAGGGATCAATATTTATTTAATGCTTCTACAAAGCATTTGTGGGGAAAACCAAAAAAATCTGCTAATCTAACAGACAGAGGACAACCATGACACAAGTCAGTGCTTTCTGTTTCCAGGAAGGCCAGAAATGCTGTAATGTCTGCCAAAATGTATCTCCTCCTTCTATGAACTGTCACAACCAAGAGTTTGGGGAGATACAAAAAAAGAGAAGCTGGATTTTCATATGCATTTCTGTAGTGGTTCTGGTTCAATTTGAATTTTAGACAGATCTCTGGAGGCAGAAGAGATTCCTATTTTATCTGAACAAATTAATGCAGCTCATTCATTCACTCTCACAGCATCCAGCAGCACAGCAGCAGCAGGGTTGTTTCCTAAACTCAATGCAATTCAAAATTACACACAATCTCTGCTAAAACTGCCATTACTGAAAGTGAAGCAGTTACACATTAGCATCCCTTCTCTAAGAAATCTGTCCCCAAATCCCAGAAAAGAACAATTCATTTACAAGCTAAGCAAGTAATCTTGAATCAAATCCTGAAGCTTGTCAAAACTAGGATCTCCTAAACTATCAGTAAGAAACTAATTTCGAAAGAAGGAACTCTCAGTTCAAGTCATTGCTGCTGAAGTCCTGGTCCTCTTCATCTAGCTTTCTATCAAATTTGTTTTGAAATGTTACCAACATCTTAAAAAATAAATTAAAAGCAACAATAACTGAAGAAGGTCTCCTTGACAGGACCAAAACACCAGACTCTATACTGGCCAAAAATCAGATAACCCTAATTACAAAGCCAACAAAGTTCCTGAACTCAACATTACATGAAGCTGAAAAGCTTACTGTGTAAAAAGATCAAGAGAAAATATTACACATGCAGATAAAGAGGACAACTGAACAGAACCACACTACTATCGCTCAATGGAGAGGTTGAAAATTCACTCCTCAAGTATCACCTCTAAAAACATAACAGATAAATTTTGTTATCTTTCTAACAAGCTGTCGTAATGCTAGACTGGGATAAAACAGATCATGCTGCCCTCTTGTGCTAGACATGCATAGGAATCAACCCTTTTATTGCTGCAAGTGACACATGAAGAGGAACACATAGAGCATTCACTATGAAGTGGAAAACGTCCACGTTTTCCTCCTTACAGATACCTTGACATGCATGCAGTTCTCTTACTGGGATATGGATAGAAGACCAAAGGAAGTTTTAAGAGAGTCAGATTCTACACTCCAAAAAATAAACAAGTTCTGTCACAAACACAGACAACTCAGATGTGATAAAGCCAAAATACAACCACTTCATCTCTAACTTCCCATCTAGCTTTCACTACAGCTGTTTAAGTGACACAGTATAGATGTCTGCTGATAAATTTGAATTTCAGTGATATATATCTGATCATTCTTTTTGAATGCTGGATGACGCAGTAAGCTTTAGTCACTTCAGTCACTTACGATTATCAGATCAATAGGGCTAGGTTAAGTGCTTAAGAAAGAGACAATCATTCATTAATAAGGTTCTTCCAGTGCAAAACATACTTAGAGCAGTAACATCTAATTATTTTTAGACCTGTGCCAGAGTATAGGAAGCTGAAATCTGTGTACATACAAATATTTTAGGGTGGGAAGTGAGAAATGAGAGGGGTCCTCATAGTCCTCTTCTCTGTAATCCAGGTTCCAAAAATACATTCAAATTCTTCTATCATGTGGGCAAAATGCTCGTTACTATTCCCTTTACAACCCTCTCCTCCCTATATATTGCTAATGTAATCTGTAAAGAGAGATCTTGGGCTCATGCCTAAACTGATTCACAAAGCATAATTTTTTTTAGAAATAAGTCATCTCATTTATTCACCACGACTGATTGGATCTACACTGTGGGGAGCTGACAGACATCTCATGATTCACCACGTATTTCCATTTCCTAATGTTGACTCCCTGATGCTGCTCATTAGTCTGTTTCCCCATTAAGAACTATCGAGAGCTTGGGATGTCTATTTATTTAAGTTTCCTTCCTCAACTTCGGAACATGGAACATTGTGTGTTCAAAATACTGGCCGTGGCATTTTTTAATTGCTGATTATTTTGGGGTAAATAAAACAGCAGAAGTCAGTTCAGCAACTGCTTCTGCTAAGGTCTTAGAGACCTCATACAAATACTGAGAACACACTGGATGCTTAAACGATCTGACACTGCAATGCCAGCTTTGTTAAACATGGGATATAACAACTAATTATTTTGGTTTGGCTATTACAAACACAACCTGAGGGAAAAAAAAAAAAAAAAAGTCTTTAATAATTTCAGTTTCTTTTTCGTATGTCTTTCATACTAAGGCATATCAAATAAAGATGGGGGGGGGGAAATACTCCTACTCAAAAAAAATCTCACCCCAATGAAAAAAAAATAGCATCTGAAGTTCGAAAAGATAAACGCACAGTAAAACCATATGTAATTCAGACAACGAACCACAGATATTGAAGCCAGAATTTCAAAATTGCTACATGCTGCAGTGCTGAACAACACCATCATCTCACATGTCATCTTTTCCCTTTTCTTTTTCTCTATTTCAACAGATGTATAGATCAGAACAGCAGTACCTTTGCATGCTGCCATGATCAAAAGAAAGATGAAGAGCAAGAAATATATGCACACTGAAGTTAATCTTCTATTATAAACATATCTGCTGATAAATAGAAACATACATCTGTAAGTCACAACAGCGTATGAATACCAGTGATAGGTAGGTTTTATGAATGTCACTTTCAGAAAGCACTGCTAATTTGAGCTTCACAGTATGTTACAAAGCAAACTACTGTTTATTACTCCACATTGCCCCTGATGTTTACTCTGCAGTTCTTTAGTTTGTTATGATAAGCCAGATTTATGGTCATTCTTACAAGATGATGATGTATTCCCCTCAAAATACAGTTACTGCATATGCTGCACACACAAAAAAAAGGAGAGAAGAGGAAAATCCCTACCTATCTGACAACAAATCCCATCAGTACTATGATTTCTTCTGATGCATGTGCTCTCACTAGCTCTTCACTAACCTGTCTCCTGAGCTTATGGCTTCACTTCTAATGCTTTGCAGTGGCCTTGAATTTACATTGCAGCAGACTCACAGTAGAAGTAGACCACAAAACACAGCTTAAAACTTCTGCAGGTGTAGATCCTTTGAGGTTTTTTTAAGGATAAATTGTACAAGTTTCATTCATCATATTACGGACATGAATCTTCTTTCCATGAGTACTTTTTTCCTGAAAATACTACTAATTTATTTGAACAATAAAGCCATCCCTATATTATCTTACCATCATTAAACACTGAATGATCTTACAATCATTCAATGGCTTCTGAAACTATGAGAACAAGCCTATGTTCCTTTTCTTCAAGGGGGTGAAGACCAGCAGATTTCTGTTTCTCATGTAAGACTAGCTAGTAAATCAGTACCACCCCACCTCCCCACTCTCTTCACTCTGCTCCAGCTTCTCTCTTGTTCCTTTTGAAGAACATAAGGATCTGGATTACAGTTTTGACTTGAATGTTTTATGTTTCTGTGCATTCTGGAAGGATAGTAAGCTACGCAGTTTCTATAAACTGAATTAGCACACATACTTACAACTATTTTTTAAAAAGGGAAATAATTGTTGCGGTCAGGCTTTCAAGAAAAAACACAAGAAAGGCCTCCCCACACATGCATATACATTCATCATATATAAGACACCTCTGTGTAACTCAGAGCAGCAATGCAACTATCAGATCAATGTACAACACCAAAGCCACAGGTAATACATTTTTCTAGAGGCTGCATTTGAAGAGGTGAGATCAACCATCAGCAAGCAGCCAACATTCTGACTTTTAAAAAGACCACACTGTTACATTTAAAGTTTTTAAGCAAAAGAAGTAAAAAAAGCCCAACCCACGAATGTGTAAAAATACTGCAAGAAAATAATTCCCCAAAACCAGTATAGTTAACATATCAAAGAGATACATTAAAGGTTTGGGGATTTTTTACTATTATACTTACCTATAGGATTTCTGTCAAAGAACAAGACAGGAGCTCTCAAAATGGATTGAAACATTCTGTTGTGCAAGGTCTGACCAGAATTAACAAGAACTTGAAACACCAGAAGACTTCTTATTATGCCAAACAGTATCGTAGCCACCGTTAAACCTGAAATTAAAAGAACACGGACAGAGCATGCATAAAGATGTGAATCTTTCACAAGGAAAAGAATTAAAAAAATCCTGAACTAAAACCAAATTTTGACAACTTCTGTATACAGCAAGAATCCGAACTTAAGCCTAGGGACTCAGACTGAACACAGAACATACATATCTTCTATTTGTCCCTAGCTTCAATTACTATCATATCACTGATTGAAACAATTTCTTGGTATTGGTACTTCATAGAAATGTAGGAAATGTCTGTAAGCCAAGAAATAAATCTGTTTTAAAACCTTCTGCCTAAGAGCTCTACTAAGAAATTCTTTTCACAGTGCCATGTATAATTGTGGCTTGCAGAGGTCACTGTGAAGATTCAACATTTGCCAGCAGGTATTAACCAAGTAATATATACACGGGTATTCAGAGACAACCTTGAGTTATTCTCAATCAGCCCAAACCACTCATGCCATTCTTCCCCTTGTAAACCACATCAAGTCATTTAAATTATGTGTATTTCTTTAGCACAGTATAAGATACATCCCTTATGCCATGTGAAATAGAGCCCTTCTAGGGAATTGCTTTCTTCTAGGCACATCTCCACTTACAAGACAGGGGTGCTACAGGGCAAAAGATGGAAACAAAGAACGATGAGATTGCTGCTGCCCTGTTTGCTGTGTGTAATCTCCAGTGTGGCTGCCAAATTCTCAGTCGATGAAGGTGAACAGTGAAGGTGTTAACCTTATATTTGGCAGTGCTTCCAGGCTTCAGGTGATCTGCTCCAGAAACTAAGCATAGCCACCACAAGCCCAGATGCTCACGCCTTGAGGATACCCTAAAGTTAGACCCTAACTATCAACATAAAATATTGCCTATTCTAAGGACAGGTTAAAACTGGACGCAATTCAGGTACAGCTATAGTGACAGTGGGAAACTGAGGTTTTAAATTATATGATGTGGTTAAGGCAATCAATTATTCCATTCTGCTTACTGCTGTATCCTCCCAGGACACAAGAAAAGGTATCAATATTTCATTTGTCTGCTTGCAGTTTATTGCCCATGTTCTGCACAGTGCAGTTTTTAAGTACATGGCTTGGACGAGACTTTGTTTGCCTTGTCCTGAATGCTGCATTCTGGGTCACACAGAAGAAAACAACTTTTCCAAGAAGAACTACATGTACCCAACAGAAAAGCTGAGTCATGCAAAAAAGGAGCACAAGAGGTACTAAGCAGGAGGCTGTGGCAGAGCTCCTACCTAAAAGGAAGGAGTCTGTGGGAGCTATGGGAAGAAAGGGAGTGTGTCCTGGGAAGCCCACATTTCTGTGACAACTTTGCTCAGGCTTGGAAGCCATTGGAAGCTGCTGGCATGACTGTCACCCAACAAATCACTTGAAAAGACCTAGTGGCTTAGGAAAAAGGGGAGGAATGAGACCTATTTTCAAGTCCTTAATCCGGTCTGTCTCATTCTGAAGGTTTTTGTTTTCCCCATTTACAAGCTTAACCCCTCAGTATGAGGAAGACAAGGACTCTGCATGCTCACTTTATAGAAAAGGTGGGGAGTTGGTACCTCAGTTCTGACCAACATGGTTTCCCATTAACAGAGATTTTACTCTTTTAAATCTTTGTCTTCTAGAAAAAACAAGGACTTGGAAGGAGCTATAGAATAAGGAATTAAGGAACTATAGAACCACAGAATCATAGAATGGTTTGGAAGGGAACTTGAAGACCATCTAGTTCCAACCCCCCTGCCACAGGCAGGGACACTTTCCGCTAGACCAGGGTGCTCAAACCCCCAACCACCCTGGCCTTGTACACTGCCAGGGATGGGGCAGCCACAACTTCCCTGGGCAACCTGTTCCAGTGCCTCACCACCCTCACAGGGAAGAATTTCTTCCTAATATCTAATCTAAGCATTGTGACATTTTTCTTTTTCCAAACACTGGTAATCAGAAATAAAAATACTAAATTATTTTATACAGTTCCAGAGGTTATAGAAAAAAGTAAGTTAGATTATGATGTACTTCACAGGAAATGTACTATCTTTTCATAACTTTACCAAACTCACTTACAATTTTGTGCTGGTAAGTCAATGCTATCTGTTCAACTATTGCAAATATGTCACTAAGCCATCTGAACATTTCGATATGAAGGCAACTTTTGCTGTTCTGCTATCTAGAACAACATTTGCCTTAAAGGATAGAATTTTCCATAACGTGTTTCAAGTTATATGTCCAGAGAAAGTCAAATCTGCCACATTTAATCATAGTGTGAAGTCCACTGGAACAGCTCATGAAATAAGACGTCACACAGAGAAAGTAAGAGCCAAGTTTATCTGGCTCCTTAATTGTTGCTTCCCAGGTCAAGCACAACGTTTTCTGTCAAGCACTTAGATCACATGGATTCCTCCCCAAAAAACCAAAAACAAACAAAAATATCCTCCACCGACCCTATCTCTCTACCATGAATGATGTTTCTGAATACATTCAATGCATCTTACTCTGGTATTCCACCTGTTTTCTCAGATTTATTATTTACATCTCCATCAAGAAATTACCATGCCATACAAAACTGTACATCACCAGAAGTGCTAAACAGCAAAGTCTGACAGCATGTTTCTCTACACATAACTTTTTCTATGCCAATGTTTACTACATTTCAGAGCAGTATTTCAAGATGTTTGGATGCCTGCATGCAAGGATCAATGCCCTTTTCTGGATATTCAGAAGCATATGGCTACTTCGTGGAATATACTGAAATGTTTTTTAACATCCTGCTTTGCATACCCATCTAGGATGCTTTTTAAAAACTGGTTCTTTTGCTATGGCATGTCAGAAGGAATGTAGCCATGTCAAGTTTTAGAACAGCACAGAACGGAGATCCATTTCTAATGCCTCTTGCCCATTCATATAACGACTGAAGATTTAGCTCAAATGACCTAGTAGTACAGACAATAACCACAACCTTATGGTGACTGACTTTCTGAATGCTCAATTCTTAGTTTACTTCCCACGATCCAGACAAAGCAAATTAAGAGTCTGCATTCAACCTATTTCTTCTGTTTGATTTTTCTTTTATTTATTCCAATTTAGACAGGAAGCAAGACTCAGGCTCCTGATCTGTTAAGGCATTACTCAGTTACTGCTAGAAATCACACTTCCCCACACTGCCGTTGCTTCGCACCTCTCAAAACTGTTATGATAGGTCAGATAATAAATAGTTCTTCAGACACACAAACATGCATATAAGATTACCTGCATAAATTCCCAAATAAAAGTTAAGGTCTAGATGCTCAGTCTCATTTGCTCCATTATTTCCATTTGTTGTGACATTCAACTTTTCTTGATGATGTGCCCTGTGGAAATGCACACAGAAGATAACAATCATCAAATCATAGGATGCAAATATTCATGAGTATGTTTAACTGTTTCTAGATTCAACTCTGCTGAAATCTTGAGTTCAAAAGATCCCATGTGCAGATGCTGTCATGCATCACACCATGATGAGTGCGATGAGTAGAAGCAATCACAGGCTACACTTCAGCATGAAGTTTAACTTTTTTTCCCCTGCGCAAAATGAGTGAGGATCATAAAAAGATCAAGCATACTCTGAAGTTTCCTAAAATAGGTTCCACTCACACACCCCATTTATACAACACTGATTTTTATTAGACAAACAGCATATGACTGACCAGTTCCTATCATCAGCTTACCAGTAAGAAAGCCACCAGTCCTGGAGCACATATGCCACCTTGAGTAAAAGAAACAAATACAAGATCATTTTACAAAATGAAAAAAACATTAGAAAATTAAATTTCCTTGCTACTCTTGTACGTTCTCTGGGAAAACATCACATATTCAGGAAAGCGTGCCATCCAGTCTTTCAAGACCAGCAGCAATTTGCAAAGCACATTAGAAGGTGCATTAGATCCCTCTACAAAGAAACAAGTTACCTTAAATTACCCTACATGATAGCAAACTAAAGGAAGGCATTACACTTAAGCAAACAAAATATAGTAGCTCTTCCTAATATATGTTAATTGCACGTTAAAGAACTAATTTTTTTCAGTTCCTAAATTTACCACTAGAGATATTCCAAAATGCTTTTTGATTAACAAAGTTTCTGGTGTTACCAGTCCAGAAATTTGTGTTTACAGGAGGTAATTAGCAGAAAGAGGGCTGAAGAAGGATGAGAGAAGAGAGGGAGGGAAAAACTCCTACTGTCACCTTCCTTCTGTGCTGAGAGGTGACTAAAACTTGTAATAGGGTTATTTATCTCAAAATACACCTCTGTTCACGTGAATTTAAAGTTCTGGGCAGTCTACCGCAGAGATTTGATCTTGCTCGGCTATCTTTCCAACAGACTCAAATCACAGACAAGCAAAAAGGAAGTAACACATCTAAATATATAGAATATATTTTACAGCTGAGACCAATCATTTCCATTAAATGATTTTAAGCTTTCTCAGAAGGAAACAGAAAAAGGCAATAAGGTATCTTCTCACAGCCTCCTCAGCTCACCCCTTCTTTCAGTAAGTTTCAAAATCATTTTCCTTTTTTTAAAAATTCTTTTCCATACCTGCTACAGTCTGTATTACACACAAGATTTGCTTATCCTCTTCCTCATCCTTCTTATTCTGGTAAACAGTGACCCTCATTCTAGCCCTTCTCATAACCTGCACTTACCAGCAGACAAGCTTTTCTTCTAATGCTACCATCAGACTGTCCTCCCATATCCAGTAAGTCCCTTTACCCTGCTCAACTGGAAACACACTGAATGTTCAGGTTTATTAAACACTACTTTATACATCTTGTGATTTTGTTCTAAAAAATTAGACTGGTTTATAATTTCTGTGCCATGCTGCCACTGAAATAATTATCAGTGCAAGACCTCTCAATGCTGTACCAAAACTCCATGCTGATATATAGAATTTCATCAAATAAACTACAAAATCACTGAAGAACACCACGGTCCCAAACATTTTAGATGAAACATCACACTAACAAGAATACACTATGTTAAAAAGGGGGGGGGGGGAGGGAAAGGGGGGGGGGGAAGGCAAGAAAAAAACCAAACCCCAAATACATTTAATACTATTTGTGGCTCCTGACAACTTACCTGTGCCAAAATATTGAATACTATAAGCATAAAGATCACAAAGTAGTTTGCTCCTGCAGTAAAATATTTTCTGTAAATCTTAAAGGTTATTTTTCCCTCAGAGCGACTCTCCTCTGGCACTGCAGCCAGCGCATTTTCAGCCTGAAAAACAAAACAAAACAACCCAGAACACCTCAGAATAAAAACCATCAACCTTGCACTTACGGGTTCAGACTAAGCCACTTGGAACATCACGGTTCAGAATTAGCAAATAATTAAATAAGGGGATAAAGTGATTACGCATATAAAAACTTTAAATATTGGAACTATAGGTTTGACTAAAAAAAATTAGTCTCAGCAATACAGCAATACTGAAAAATCTACTCTGCAAAAGACACTGTGAGGATTTTATTTTGCACTGCATCACAGAACATAACATGGCTTCATTTGCAGCCAGAAATACTTACACCAACTGACTGCTAAACCAGGTATTTATTTTCTTATGGTATTTCTATTTCTTTATTACCTTCAGTCATAACAGCACTGGAAGCTAAGGCATTGATTTGGGAAAGATTCTGTTTTCAGAATGCAAGTGTATGTTACCTTTCCTTTTCAGAAAAGCATTTAAATACTCTTCTTCGAGCGTGCAGTAAAATCAATCAACATATGCCCAGAGTAAACAAATTACCCATAAAGTTTTAATCACCTCCTTACAAGTACCAACAAAGCATCCGTTAATAAGGAAAACAAGTAAAATGACAAATCATAATAAGCAAACAATAGATGGGGGACACTGAAAGACACAGAAAGGAAAAAACTGAGACATAAAGAAGGTAGAAGAATTATTCAAATAAAGAAAATTCTTTTTTTTTTTTTCTTCCCCCCCCCCCCGTACATGTGATAGAAAAACTAGTGCCAGTTAAGTGGACACATAACACTTGATTCTGTTGTCAGCAGACTTAGCCATATGAGAGTAGTGGTATTTACACACCTCATATGTGAAAGGAGAAATCCCACCTACTCACCCATAAAAGAAAAGCCTATCTCAGTTACTTGTTTCTCCATCCCCCATCCCCATCCAACAGTTCCAATGCTGCTAAAAAGTGTGGTACAGTTTGTGGATTTAATAGTGGAGTCACCACTGGGACATTAATAATGCCAGGTAAGTTTACTGCTTTTGGGCATAAAAGTATTCCTCAAAAAAGGCAACAGAAAGTCTGTAGCATCCCTTTTTGTTGCTGTTTTTATCTAATCTCACTGCTTTTCATTATAGAAAAGAAATAATATGTACCCACAGCATAAAGGTGTCAGGGCCAGACAGCAATTACTTGTTCCATTTGTACCATGGATGCAGTGCTAGTACAAGCCCAGCAGGGTTACAGCGCTCTGGTGCTGTTTTGTGTGATTGCAAACACCCCAGCAGAAGGCCAACTCTGGTACAGAAACATTACAGCTGCTGTTGCACTGTGCAGCATGGGAGGTAACAAGGCACCTGGAATTCAAGCTAGCACCATACAAAGTGTTCTGGTTTCACCATCAGAAAGGCTGGGAGAGCAATGCAGGGGTGTCCCAAGTTACCCCCTGAGGGCCAGCTCAAGATCACATGGGTATGTTAATGCCAGCCATGCAAATGTCGACTTTGTATAAAGCCACCACTTTCCAGAGCTCAGGATTTCATGGGAAGTGTTAATTTGAGTTCTGCACAGCACAAACACACAGAACCCACCCAATACAGGGGTATTTTAAAGCACTGCTTCCAGAGGACAGGATGAAGGCAGCACAACGCAGTGTCCTTTGGACATCCAGCAGAGCTGATGCAGAACCCTAACAATCTCACTCTGCTGGGTTTGAACAGAACATCGCAGAGCTGTGGGGTGCCTGCCCTCTGCAGCCCAGGTGACAGGACTGCCAGCCACACACAGTGCTGGGCAGATCCACCATGAGCAAGCTTTCACTTGCCAATGCAACCCAACAACCCCTGAAATTCAAATGCAGCAGGGAAAGCCCTTATTGAAGTTTAAGTTAAAAACCAGCCAAACAAGAATTGAGATATGTCTATCCTTTGAGCACTCACAGGTTGTTGTTCCACTGCTCCATCTTTCTGTGAGTGGACAGAAGAATCCTGGGACCAGACGGAGGACTCCGAGAAGGTTCGGCTCCGCGCAGACTTCAGGTTGGGGGTTCCTGGAACCGATGGCTGTTCTACCTCTTCATCTTTTTTCAAAAGGGAAGCAAAGTCGATGCCAGATCTCAGGAACTCTGAATAGGTACCTTTCCCCACCATTTTACCCTACAATTAATATAAGCTTTGATTATCTTCATTATACACTTTCCATAAAGGACAATTTTTCCTATCTAGCCTTGCTGCCTCTGAGGTTCTGCAGTTGCTGTGCACGCATCCTGCTGCAGTAACTGAGCTGAAGCCTCTACCTACCAGTTGCTCATTTAGAAGCACAGAAACAAGCTCTTCATCCCCTAAACCAGTCCCTTTCTGGCAGCTAACCAGGCCAAGGAGCATATAAACAGGATGACAGAAGTCCCAGCTACAGCCAGGTCAGAATTACCTCCTTGGAGAAGCTGCAGGAGACAGCCATGCAGCTTTAGGACAACCTGTTGAGCTACATACATAACCATCAGTCTTTTTATATTATTCCAGGCTAGGAGGAAAAAGCAGCTTAATTTTCTGGTCCTCACAGATCTATAAGGAGCAACACAGGCCATTTCCACACTTCCTACAGCTCTACCACATACTCATTTCCAGAAAGCTACTGTAACTTTTAAAGAGATCTTAATGGGAGGAAAAAGACTGCTAGTGTCCTTTTTTGCAACACTGTGATGCATCAGAAGTAATTTCACACACTTCACTACCCAAACTTAAAAAAAGAAAAGAGCCCCTGCTAAAGCTCTTGGTTTCCCCTCTACCTGCGAACATCTGGTACAACAAAGTTTGGAAGGCAACAGTTCTCTGCTCATTCTCAAAAGGTATCTATGACCATTTCTCAGTCTTAATTTAAAAAAGGGACTGGTTGCAAAATCAACATAGTTCTTATTTCACACAGAAGTGTTAAGCAACAAGAATAAAGCAAAGCATTAACATGGTCTCAAAATAAGTGATTCTCTCACAATATATTATACACATGTAAGATAAAAATCGGTATATAAGATTACATATTTGTATGAGAATTCAGAAACATTTCTCAGGGAAGGTATTCTAAGAAAAACCAACTTAATTACAAATATTTAAGAATATTTATGATCATTAGTAGAGAGAAAATGTATTTACAAACTAAAAGTAAAAATCTTTAACCACTGGGTTTTTTTTCACTCTTAGATTAAAAAGGGTAATTAGAAAGAATGTGAGCTATAACAGAATAGACACTGAAATCACTTACATCTTTCAGAATTAGAATCTGATTTGCAGCACGGAGGTACTGTAACTGGTGAGTGACTAACACAGAGATCTTTTGATGTAAGGCCTGACAAATACATCTGCAAAGAAATGGAAAAACTAATTAAAAATGAAGTTTCCTAAAACATTTTGACTATATCTGACTTCAATTTTACAGTGTTTAAAATAAGGAAAAAAACCACACCCATGTATACGAGATTTGTAAAAGTTACACTTAACAAACATATTCCTTATTTAACTTTGTAAGTTTTCAAGGTAGGAAAAAAAAATTCATATGGTCTGGATGAAAGAGGAGGAAATTCCTTACGGAAATTTCATTAAAATTGTCTTAAACATCCTCCTAATAAACGTACATGTCATAAGCTGAATTGCAAAGAGGGTATTTAGCAAAAATTAAACTAATGGAAAGAGAAAGCAGGGTAACACACTGTGGACAGTTATGCAAAAATAGAGCAAATAAAAGTAACATATTTGAGATGAGCTTTCAGAGCAGCTCTAACAGTGAGCCACTGAGAGTTCTGGAGTATACAGTACTACTGATTTGAGCTACACCCAGGTATGTATTGAGGAAGAGGAGCAAGATCCTTCAACCATCTCTGACCTTTTCCCATGGAATGAGGGCTTATTAAGGGCTCCCTTCTCAAGTACCTCACCTGCTTAGCTGAGATGCTTCTCCAGAACTATGGGATTTGGAGAGAGCAACGAAGAAGGGACTGGGCACAACAAAACCAGTTGGCACGTGCAGTTCAATCCCATACAGTTTTGGCAGAAAAGATACCTGGTATCTTTTCAGCAGAGCTTTGAAAGGCTCCCAGAGCCAAAAAAACCCCAAACCCAAACCAAAACCATAGCAGTGGAGCAATGGTTTACAAGTGCAGAGGTCTACAAGCACACTCTTCATGTACAACAAGGACAGCACAGACACAAGTGACATCCACACCTACCATCATTGCCTTCATCCCCACAGAACCCTTCAAGAGGTTTGTCTCCCTTTCTAAACTACTCCCTCTCTTAAAGAAACAAGGAAAAGTGATATTGTGTAAACTGAAGTGTCCAGTGAAAGCTTACACATTAGCCTTTTCCATTTGGATCAGAAGCACCTTTTTGAAGATCATCTCCCAGTTGTCTCAACTCAATCTGCTGTTGCTCGTACTGCTCAGAGGTATTGGGGCCCATGAGCTAGACTTCTAGACAAAACCAAGTGGGAACGCACACTTCAGCAGCATCCCTGATCAGTATTCAGCCAATAAGGAATGAAGTCTGAAGGGCCAGCCTGCTGCCTGCTCAAAGCAGAACCTTCTAAACAGCACAGGGTCCTTTGAAACACGTTTTTTTCCACAGATCTGTCCTGTCAGCTTATTTTTGCTAACACGCTAACTCCCATTTGTTAACATAACACAGGAGGGTGGCACTCACCACAAAGGAAAAGCAAACCCCCACTCCCAAATCTTCTCCCTTTTGGTGTTCTCGAAAAACACCAGAAGGAAAACCACAGCAATCCAATAGCAGAAATTCAATGCAGAAATGCACATAAGCAGTAAGGGGAGCAAGGCAGAAAAAGAACATGATCTTAACAGCAGTGATATCATATTGCTTACTGTGTTTCATTCATTCAATTTTGTACATCCAATTAACTCCCCACACAGCTTTTAACATCTATTTTATCACTCCTACAAAGACTGTAGGAAGTACTATAAAGTGGTTAATACTAGTACTAGGCAGCATAATTACGTGCAGAAAGTATATTACAGTGTTCCAAATAAACTGCACGGCAAAATGAAGTTAAAGGCAACACTCTTTGTGAGAAAGTTATACACTTGCTATGCATCATTCAAGAAGAAATTATAAAAACCATGATGTCATTCTCAGGTGGCCACGATAACAATTAATCAAGGTATATGCAGCAGCATATCTATTTCGGCATTTGCAACTATTTATACGCCAAGCTCTTTGGGGGAGTATTATTCTGGTGTGCTTACTGTCCACTCTCTGAGCAGGCACTGAAACAAGCCACATGGCAACTGTAGCACCAGCTACAGACAGGCAACAAAACAATCTTCAACAAAACCTATCCAGAGAACTGGACAAAGATCAGAGAGGCTACAGGAAAGGCCTAGCAGGAAGGCTGCCAAAACCGAATTTATCAGGTATTCACCGTGAAGAGATCTATCCTTCTCTTACATAGTCCCAAAGCCTGTATACCACTTTCATCACTGAATTTTCTGTGTGCCAGATGTATGTCTAACAGCCTATAGGACAAGCTAGCCACTAGAAAATCTGACGGCTGAAAACCTTTAAATCTTGACCTGAGTCACAGTGAGTCCACTGCACTTCAAGTGTGCATTTGGAGAGGGGGGAATAGAGAAGAAAAAGAGTGGGTTATCACAGCATCAGAGCAAACCACTCAGAACTGTGAGAGCTGTCAGCACAGCATCCTGCATGATCCTGATCTCGGGAGAGAAGGCAAAAATGACCTCTGTGGAGATTTATACTTCCACTGATACATCAGCTCACTCAAGTGAGACTTTTAAAAAAAACAACACCTCTCGATTTCATGTCTATCTGGGTAGAAAGAAGCTAGCTGAATAGTGTGTTGATAACAGGGGAGCAGAAAAATTGTTGTCACATTTCATTGGCATGAGCAAAGGGAGGAAAAATTGCAACAAAGAGTGTATACTTAGATCTATTACCAAGTTAAACAACTCACTGCTCAGACAGCTCACTAGAAAATTTTGCCATTTAAAATACTGTATCATCATGAAGCACAGAAGCTGCAAAACTAGTAAAATACTAAGTAGATACTTAATGTCCGTTTCAAAACATTGAATTACTTGAATTTTATGTTCAAAACCTTTTTAATTATTTCCTTTTTCTAAATATCCTACCTCCCACTTGACAACATCCATTCTGCAATTTACAGTGAGCATTAAGTTTGTACGGTGCCTTGGCTGCCATGCAAGACCGAAGCCAGACTTCAAAGTAAGGTTCAGCAAAACTGAATGTGATAAAAGGGCTGGCATAAAACCCAGAGAACTCAATGAATTCTACTAGAACCTGGTATTGTCTTAGAACTGAGAAAGAAAAAAACCCACAAAACAGAATAGTCCGTAAGTATTTATGTTTTTTACTGGTTCACTTAGGCTTAGTTTCATCATACATCTACTTTTAGAAATACTGCTCTGTGTAGCCAAAGAAAAGCAACCATCAGTTTTAGGTGAAGCACCCAGTTGTAGGTGAAACACCATCTGACAGTTTCTCACTCCCTCACTGATATTCAGGGAAAGCCTGCCTTGGCAGGCTACAAACCTGGTCCGAACGTTCCAACATCTGCTGGAGTATGCCCAGACTGCCACCACCTTTCTACTTGTTGTCTAAAACCCCACAAAGTTCACCTTTCTTTGTGCTTCTCTGTTACTCTTGAGAGGCATACTGTTAGACTGTCAGCACATTCAATGCAAGACAACAGGACAAATTACTACAGAAATTGTAGTTGCCATTGCCACATTTATTAAATACACAAACATACATACACACACACACACACAGAGCCAGATGAGATCCAAAGAAGACCCAAAGGTTCTTCAGCCTCTTCAGTAAAAGAAAAAGGGGGATGAAGGGACTATGAAAGTTGCATCCTGTTCCCCAAGAAACAACTTAAATTTAGAAGTGTTCCTGACAGATGTTGGACAGGGTTTTCTGCATGTTGCACTATCACCCATTTAAAAAAAAAACATTGCTCTTTGACAGCCAACTTCTATGTAATTAGAAAAAATAGAAATTAGCTTGAGCTTTGATACTTCAGAGCATGCAGCAGAAGACACTTTCTTAGAAAGGGGCCTCCAAGAACACAGCACTCCTTTATGCAAAGGCAGTGTCTTGACATTTTCCTGCATACGAATCCTTACTTGTTCTTCCTTCCCTATCAGGTTTTCTCTGATTTGAGACAAGTTGTTCTTTAATCTTTATTAAGTTTTTATCTCCAAGAACCAGCTTCCTTTCACCTCTGCAAAGTGTCTCCTCTTTAATGATTCTACTTTCTTCCTTGCCATTCTTTTTGCCTCTCCTTTTTGGAAGTTCACATCCCAGTTTAACTTTAGCTCACTTTATTTCAATAGAAATAACCACTGAAATGAAATTAAGGCACACAGAAGTGCTCGCAGGCTTAAAGCCTTTGTTATATTAATTTACTTACTACATTTCCTTTCCTCTCCTCTCCCTTTAAATTTAAGAGGCTTAGGGAAAAGAACCCCTCAGTTGGTTTTGTACATTTCAAAGTTTACACACACACAAAAAAGTGTGATACCTTTGCTAGAGACAAAAAACCCCTACTTCTAGTATGCTGTTTCTATTTGTATGCTTGCTAACCATTTAACTCCATCTCATGACAAGTCCCTGCCTCCCACGGGTTAACGTATAGGAAAACTGGTCCACAAAATCCATTACCCTGTCCCAGACACCAGTCAGCAGTGGATGGCTCGAGGAAGTATATACGTAAATATACAGTGATGCTTCCTTTGGTATACATTTCCAGCTTCCAGAGTCCACTTATTAGGGACTTCTGGAAACAGAGATCTTGGTGTTTAAGCAGCTCTTTGTGAACTTCTCCTACAGGAATTTGCACACCTCCCTCTTGAGCCCATTTCTGGTTTAGTATTCATAATTCTATTTTGCAACTGCTCCCACACACCATTAAAGCACACAACTACACTGGGGTTCTACCAAGTGGGGTTTGAGGTTTTTTCTTCATTTTGTGGGATTTAAAACAAAACAAAAAAACACAACCAATCAAACAAAAAAAAAAAAAAAAAAAAAAAATCACACAGCCTCAAAACATTTCTGTGAGATAAAACCTAAAATTTTAGGTTTTGTTAAACACAATGTGCAGTGATCACAATTATGCTTTTCACTTTCTGGGGGAAAAAAAGAACCAACCAACCAACAAAAAACAACACCCACCCCCCACCCCCAAAAAAACCAAAACAAAAACAACAAAAAACAAAACCACAACAAAAACCACAACCAAAAACCAAACCCAAAAAAGCCAACAACAAAAAGCCCACCCCCCAAAATTGTAAGCAACATTACTACACATACTAATTCCCTACAATGTACACAACAAAGCTCATGGAATTTCAATTGTATCATATAAATGTAAAGGTATGACTAATATGTATTTAAGAGCAACACCTGTAATGCAAAAAAAAAAAAAAAAAAAAAAAAAAAAAAAGATGTACAGGGCATGCAAGTTTGCCAAATACTTCTCATTAGGGCTGTAACCAATGCAGTGGTATCAAGAGGTACAACGTGGGAAGCCTTAGAGATAACCTTGATTTAGAGAGATCCTACCTGAAAGAGAGCAGAGCAAAATCCTTAATTTTACACACCAACTCCCCTGTACACTTGTCATCAGAGGACAAAGTGTTCTCTTTTAACACAGCACTAGCTGTGTAAGCACAGCTTTAAACACAGTACTAGCAAGTACATGCCAGGGTTACTTTTGCTTGGTTCCTTTGACATGCTGATTGTGTCTGTAATCCCTCTACAGAAAGAAGACATGCCAACTTTCATTTGCTAGTTTTACAGGACTGCTGAGCTCTGCTTTCTTTTAATTACCTACACCACTGTGACAGTACTTTTTCCTCAAAGTTCCAACATTAAAAAAGAGCAACATGATTAGAGATGCAGCTTTACATTAGATGCCCCATCTCTGGAGGTATTTAAGGCCAGGTTGGATGGGGCTTTGAGCAAACTGGTCTAAAGGAAGGTGTCAGTGCCCATGGCAGGGGGGCTGGAACTAGGTGATCTTTAAGATCCCTTCCAACCCAAAATATTGCACCATTCTATGATCTACAAGCATACTCCTCTTTGAGATACAAGACTCGAAGCATTCATGGACTCCTAAGAGTCCCAGAAATCACATTACTTTGAACAGATAAAGTAAATATTGAGATCTGTGCTATCTAATGAAAAAAACAAAATATTAAAAAAATTCTTTTACTCATTTTCCCTACTTGATTTTGCTCCTCCCCTCAAGCATTTCTCGTGCTTAGGTAAGAGTCCACTGAGGAACCTCAGTATCTCTTAAGCCATGAACTACTCATGATAGCATCTGTCACTTTCCTGTGCCATCAGTTCAATTCTTCCTCACTTTTTTCTGCAATTACAAAGGACACTTGCTACAAAACCATGCCTGCTCCCTTCCCTTTCTTGCAGAGGAATGCTCAGTTACCTCACATGGCAACAGAGAGAGACTTTATATTCCAGGGCAGCTGGTTAACTTGCCAAGTGACTCCCCAGTCAGCCTCAACGGTTATCCCATGACCCGTGCCCCAGTTACATGTCCCTTCAGTTCCTATGGGAAGCCATCGCCTAGTACTAAGGTGCTCCATCTAAACAGATGTGCTGTGCTGTGATAAATGCAGTGATTTCTTCTGCAGCTTTTATCTGGTTCCAGAGGCAAGACTGAGAAAGAAAAGGCAAATGACCACACATTCGTAACAGCCTCCTGCTTAAAAAGAAGTATAAATTTGCAGAATTCTGTTTGAGAGTAGGATGACACACCAGTTCAGACCACTCCCAAGCATCGTCACAACTGTAGGTGTGAGTTTAAAAGATTCCCAAACTGTCCTGCAACTTTGTCTACACTCAGAAGCACAGAGGAGGAACAGAAAGAAATCAGGCTTATCATCAGCTGAGACTGCCACATAGCTCCTGTCACTGGAGAAGACAGAAGAGCATTAGACTCCACAGACGGACAGAATACAAATCTCACTCTTCAAAACACCATTTTTGAGTCAGTATAACTGATAATGGGACACAATTTAATTTCTATCCAAAGGTTATGCGAAAACATATAATTAAATAGAAATATGTTTACAAAGATGCACAGGGAGAGCAGGAAATTTCTTAGTTTGCCAGAAACACTTTCTTCTGCTATGCTGTTTCTACTTCTAATGTTTGCTAACCAAGCACGACTGAATGATTTTCTTAGAACACCACAGGTTATGCCAAACTTTGTCATACAAAGAAAAGTGCTTCTGTATCCGTCTGACTGTCCCTCATTTCAAAATTAGAGGTCTCAAAATAGCACACTCCTTAAAAGTTAATGAAAGGCTATTTTTATTTTTATATGTATGCATATATATGCATATTTTCGTATACACACAAATATATACAAAAACATAGAACTTTACTGGTGCCTCCCCACTGGGCAAAGGCTGAATCATGCCTACTGTTAACTATCAAGAGAACTCACAGGAAAACAGGCTAAAAATAACTCAAAAATAGGGAATCTCCAATTTATACCTTACTAGGCCCCATGGAATCTGACCAGGAGAGAGGAATTCATTGGAAAGCTGGTGTTATCTGCTTCATCATCCATGGAACAATTTGTCTATATCATGAAGAAATTATTATGAGACACAATCCCTTAAAAGTACCATGGACTGCTTTTCTACTGGAGCTGTGCTCTCGCATTCCTTCCCATTTGAAAAGTATTCATGTATCGTAAAATGTTTACTCCAGTGGCTGAACAGAATGGGGAGAAACAGCATATGCAATGAACTAGCCATCCACAGACCACAGCCTTGGGGAACTACTAGGAACATACCTATCTTTGATGTAAACACACAGACTTCTAAAAAAATTAAACATTAATATAAAATTGCAAGAAAAAAAACAAGAGTGAAGTGAACAATACCCACTTCAGATTCTCATTAAACAATCCCCCGTTTCTTCCATCTCGTCCATTGTTTTATGCCTTGCGGTTTGGACTCCTGGGGGAAGCTTGCATGAAGTAGTGTCTCAGACATTCCTCAGCACCATGTTCTAAGAAATCATTCTTGCCCAAGTTCTCTCTCTCTTCTCCACATGTCTAGCACTATTCAGGAGGCATTAAAGAACATGCCCAGCCCTGCTTTTCAAAGTGAGCTACGTAACACTCTCCCCACTACCACCAGCACCTTTTGCAGCTGCCACAAAGGTCTCAGAAGACAACATCTGTTTGTAAAAAAGCCTTCCCTTAAGGTCTTGAACAGGGAGGTACTGCTCAGTTTTCCATGCCACTACTACTCCACTCAGTCTATTTCTCCACAAAATGCTTTTATCTGTTTCACTCAAACTGATCTAAAGTCGGGGAGGAAAAGTAAGCAAAAGTGAAAGAAGCAGCCCAGCTAGCTTTCTGAGTTTCAAGTTCTCCAAGATAATCTCCTTATTCCTCTTCATCTCCACACATTTATCAGCAAAATATACAGTGTTTGCAGAGCAATGGGTTTGCACATACAAAAATCCAGTAGATCCTTCCAATGTCACAGCTCATATAAAACGTAGAATAAATTGAAAAGGCAACCCGACCTCCTTTGCAAGGCACTACTTTATTTTCCTGTTTTCCTCTTCAAGGTGAAAAGACCTTAAGACTTAAGGGAGCTCAGGTGGGTGCACTTTCAGAACTCAGGCACTGATACAGTCAGATGCTGGAGTTGTAGAGCAATCTTGTGCAGAAACAGAAAAGCAGCAGCGAAAGACTAAGATAGCTTCAATGGGCATTAAAGGAATTTGATAGATTATGTGAACTACAGAAGTAATGAACTCCATCTATCAGTTGTGGCAGGTGAAAATGAACCTGCACAGAATGACGAACATGAAGCCTATGCATCATAAAAGTCTTACTCCACACTGGCTAATGGAAACAAACAGTAGCCATCTGAAGAAATCAGTAAAATAAAATAAGATTTGGATGGGGTTTCAGAGGGATCTCTGGATTTGAAACTGAAAACATCAATAGGATACAATTCTCAAATTTAGACACTGAAAGCTTCCCTGCATGGGGAAGAAGAACATGAATGCAATGCTAGTCAGTGCAAATTCTACAACCATTTCTGCAAGACAAGTTTTTATGATTCTCTAGGGGTGGAGAGGAGGGAACCAACAGTAAAACCAAATTAATTCATGTATTTGGAACATCAAAGGGTGCAAGTATGCTCAAGAAAATGCTCTCATTTAAGGCTTCAACCAAACTCCACTGAATTCAGCCAATGGAAGTTTTTCCCCTCTACTTCTAGTAAGTTCCAGATTATATCTTTTGATATCAAGAGCCACAGGCCATGAAGAGTAAGGACAAAACTCTGGCTGTGAGTAACTGGATTATTCTCATACGCACTATGTGCTATAGATAGGCAGTTTGAAAGACAAGACAGAGAAAAGGAAATTTATTGAGAAGGGAACCTGACTTTTAATGAACACTATTCTGTTTCTTCAGGATTGGAGGAAGGTCCAGTATCTCTGTCTTTCATGCATAACAAGCTTATACATTCTCTTTTCCCCCATTTCTGCTATCCACAATCTACTTCGCCAGGCCACAGTTCCCTGTTTCACCTACCCAAAAGAAGTACCAACCACTCAATAACCAAAATGAAAAATTGCTCAAGAATCTAAGATTGTTCTGTCCTTTTCTTTAGCCACTTGAATTAAGTGCTTTTTACTATGCAAATAAAGCTGCAAACTAAGAAGTGATTTAAAATCCCACCCCATATTATTCTTCATTCAGTACTAATATTCATAAACTCCTATACTCGTGTATGAAATCTGACATTTTCCTCAAGAATATGGCATATATTCCCTTAAGAATAATTCTAATTGTATCTGCAAAATAGACTTTTACGGGGCTTTTAAAAATAAAGAAAAAATTAAAGGGACACAGAGGAAAAAAACCTATACATCTTCCAAACACATAAAATAGAGGAAAAATAAATGCAGAAAGTGAATGCATTGTTTCATGAAGAGATCCATCCCCCCCAAAATGCTTTCTCAAGGTTTTCTATAAGAAATTAGAAGGTAATAGTTGCATTGTAAATTAAAATGAAGCAGTAACATACTTTTCAAACAAATGTCTTCCAACTTCAGCATCTACTGCACTCAGTGGATCATCCAAAAGATAGATGTCTGCATCCTGATACACAGCTCTAAAAGGTTTAAAGAAAAGTCAGTATTGTGAAGTCTTGCATTTGTTTACTTTAGTGACTACAGTCTGACAATTTGTACATTTTAGAAACAGCAAAAAGCACAAACCTGGCCAGATTTACACGGGCCTTCTGCCCCCCACTCAGCGTAGCTCCACGATCTCCTATTACTGTTAGGTCCCCATTTGCTAATAATTCCAAGTCCTGGGAATGTGAAAGAAAAGATATCAAGATTATTTTTTTCTCAATGATTTTAACTTCGAAGACTGAAAAAGCTGCTTCAACATAACACTTTCCTATATGAACAGTATTAACTTACTATCTCACATGAAAATACAAGGATTTATACTAAATGAAATATCTGCAGTTACTTTATAACTTTGTTTCTTCAGCAATAGATAAGTAAGTAAGCAGGAAAAATAGGTGAGAACTTTAAAGTTCACTTCTTCTACAGCTTTGCCAGAGAGAAGTGCACTACTTAATTTTTAGTGTTAAAGGGAATATTTGCTGGTGATTCAGAAATCAGACTAAAAATTATGATGCATAACAGTAAATTAGTTATTTTTACTAGAACAAAATTAGCTGTCATGATAAACAAAACTGAACTAATTACTCTCAGTATATTATTTTGCCAATGTCCCTAAGAACTGCAATGTATAATTTATTCTTACTGCAATGTATACAAGAGAAATAACCACAACATTCATCGCACTGATTTGGTTAATTTACAGAGCTTAGAAATATGAGTAACAGAACAAAATTATACAGTGTTCCTTGTCACAGAATCAGAGTGGTTTGGGTTGGAAAGGACCTTAAGATCGTCTAGTTCCAACCCCCTGCTGCAGGCATGTCATATTATTGTATTTCCTATTCAGGAAATGCATAAGGTTTTTTTATATTAAGCTATAAAACACATTCTGAAAGTTTTTTCACAGCTTTTCTAAGATACATAAATTGGAAAGAAAACTATGAAAGCAAATCTACCATCAAATATGAAGTGTTTTTTTTTTTAAATGCAGTTTGCTGTCTTTTAAACTCACTAAAACCTTAACTTTAGACAACAGCATATGACTGACTTTCAGAAAAAAAGATATTAAAACTCTATCTACCATGTGTAAAAAACCTTGCAAAAGAATTTTCATCACACTAACCATCTGCTTTTCACCTGTGTCGCTGCTGACACGAATACTGTAACATGCTGCATAAAACCATTTTAGCTGCCAAGCAAAATGTCTGTTTCTTGACAAATCTGGCTTAATCCTCTTCTATATCTCATGTCACAAACTCCTTTGCACACAGACCTTTCAAAAATATTTTTCCATAGAACTACTAGGGCTCAGCAAGTTCTCCAATATATAGCACTAAGGTTCTTTTGACAGCTGTTAGCAATGTATAATACATGAAATACATTGCATTTATTTAAAAACCCCAAACAACATATAGGATATTTACAGAAAGGAAGTCATGAATAGTGCTAGCCTGATCATTTGTTTTCCACCTTTCACTGCATTTACACACAGACCTACCTTAATAACAGCAAAAAGCGCTACACGCGATTATGAAATTAAATAATTGGCAATAGCTTTATCCAATTGTAGCAGTACTTCATGTGAGCTACGCCTCCCTCTAGTGGAAGTTTTAGGAATTACAAGAACTCGCTTTCACACGGTTGTCAAAAATAATTACACGTATATCTGTTAAGCGATAGGATTTATTCCACATGCTACTCATAATAATTAATTGTATATATTATATATTGCAGCATGTACCACAAGTCTGAAAGAACACCAAGATAAAAATAAAGCTTGTGAAAATAAAACACACCAAGAGAACACCGTACCTTTTTAAGAGCACAGACTTTTAAAACTTTTTCGTATTTTTCTTTCTCATATTCCTTATCAAACAGTATATTACTTCTTACTGTACCGGAAAACACCCAAGGCTGCTGAGAAACATAGGCAATTCTTCCAGTAGCATTTATCAAACCTTTGTCTTTAGGCAGCTCACCAAGCACAGCACTCAAGAGCGAAGACTAGAGAAGATTAAAAAATAAGAAGTTTGCATTAAAGGCACCACAGAGATTGAGCAGTGTTTACTGGCACGATGGCCTATTCCACCCTGCCACTCAAACTACTGCTAACAGAAGAAGAGCACTTGTACCCTTTACACACAGGCTAGAAGCAACATGCAAAGTACTGTTTAACTCTGAACCATCTCCTCCCCACTCCCAGAAGGACATCTGCCTTTCTTGAATGCCAGTATCTTGAAGTGAATGAAGTGTGTTATTATACAAAGAAAAGAACCATACATTTTCAAGTTCCTAGTCATGTTCAACACTCATAAAACCCCTACAGAACAGAGTAAACATTAAGACTTACTTTTCCAGCTCCTACAGGACCAATCACAGCCAGTAATTCCCCTCGTCTGACAGTAAAAGAAATTTGTTGAAGTGCTGGGCTTTCTAAATTCTATGGATTTGAGAAAAAGTTAGGCTTCCTCAGTAATGAAACACACACCACCAAAGCAGCTCTTTATAAAACAATGCACATAACACAAATGCCCACCATATTTTCAGGCATACATTTTGCCTCTTCAGTAATTCATACTTTCAAACAATCCTGATCCTTCAACACAAACAAGTAATGCAGATAAAAGAGAGTTCAAGAAATAAGGAACCCCAAGGCAGTAGGAGCAGTGCTTTCTCAAAGCCCACACATCCCTGCTGCAGCTCAGCACAAGGCTGGGGCAACAGCCTTGGAAACAAGATCTCTGTGCTGGCCACCGCACAGGCATTCACTGCTCCAGAAGGGCACATCTGGCAACACCGAGTAGCTAGAGAAATGCTGGGAAAGGGAGGGTTGAAGCACTTGTAGAGCCCTAGGAAAGCCAGGTCTATGTTTGCTCTAGTCAAGACTCTACACAAAGCGGAAACAGTAAAAGGCTGTTAGATTTTATGTAACTTCATCTTGTATATGATGGATTCTCAGGGACTTTTCATAGACAACATAGTGAGCTATTTGTGTGAAAACATACTACCTTAGAATTGTTTGTTTAATATTCCTTTTTTAGCATGCTTACCCTTTATGTTACACTACTGATAAGAGCTTATTTCCCAACATATTTTGCACCTCTCCTATCAAGGTTGTAAAAATGCCTTTTTCTTGTGGAAAGAAAGGATGCTCATGCTTTTAATAGCTATGCTAAACCGCAGTTCCTAAGGGGCTGGTGCAGCTCCCTCTCATTAAAGCAAAACACCCTTGTAACAGGATATGCCTTTACATGCATCTTAGACTGCACTAAGCATGACTGACACTAAAATGCAAACAGGAAAATATATGCATAAAAAAACAATAAATAAAAGAAGTAGTATTTCTATTAAAGGGCCAAACAAAACCCCAGCCGTAAGTTTCAAGAAAGAAGAGCAGGTGAAAATATCTAGTGTACTTCTTAACAGCTTGTGCAGACTGTTTGAAATCTCCAGTCACTTACAGGTCAAGAGGCTGAAGTGGCCATCACCTAACCCTGCATGAAAGATGCCACATGACCGAGTTCTAGGACTGCAAAAAGTGGAAGCTTGCAACTCGTTTCAAATTATGTGGGAGAGACACCGGGCCAGTATCTACCCACACCATGATGGCTGGGAGAGCTGGGCTAGCACGTGTGTCCGCCTATGCCAGGAGAAATACTCAGTTCACCAGCACCATGAAAGCTGCACGTCCCCCACCACAGCTCCCACCTCGACGAAGCACCGCAGGGTTCACAGGAGATCAGAGTCACACTGAGAACCCAAACTTGTGCACGTTGTGCAACTCCGCAAAACTAATTTTGCTGCTATTACTTATTTCCACAAGGTGGCATCAACGGGGCTTTTTTCCTTTTCTCCACCCCCTTCCCTATCAGCATTTTACCACAAATCTGATTTCTCCATCCTGAACCTGAGTTCAGGTGCTCAGCTAGTGCTAAGCTGTCAGGGAAACTCTACCAACTTTCTTTGTGGTTTGGGGTTTTTTTTTCCAATGCAAAGCTTGTAGGAAGAGAAAAACATCTCTTACTAAATCAAACAGTCTGTACGGAAAAAGTAAATAAGCTTTCAGACAAGTCCCTTCTTCAGACCTCTTGATGTTGTGCTTTTGTATTCACCAAAGTGCAAATATATTTTCTCTCATGCTCAGTTTTTTTTAAAAAACAAACAAACAAGGAAAAAAATACATAAAAAATATCCTAAGAGCCCGAAAGCATTCTAGAAATTTTCAAAAAGTTTCTAAACTATTACCCAAACATTAAAGTAGTATTGTAAGATGTCAAACACCCTACGCAAAAGTAGTAAAGCAAACACCCAAGGGGCAAGGTATTTTTTGCAAAATAGCATTCCTTATAATTAAAGGCCGTTTGTCCTGAATTCATCACACCTATTTTCAGACACTAAACCGAGGCACTTAAATTAGAGCACAGACTAATATTACAACTAAGTTCATCTGACAGCTCATTACCCCAAATGTCCCAGCTCCCCTGTGCCCTTGTTAACTATCTGCATCTTTCACTTCCTTTCTTCTGCCACTTGTTCTTGCCTAATCTTGCAGACAGGTTGCTCATGGGACTCAGTTATCAGAAAATAAATCACATTAAAAGTGGTTCATTTTCTATTGTGTTATCCCTCTGAACTGGCTCACCACAGGACTGCAAAAACAAGCATTAACACCAGCACAAGCAAGGGAAGATAGATACACAGAGTGTGAGGACACAAGAATGATCCCCTGAGGGACAGCAACTCTTTGGGTGAGCCTGGGCAGACCTTACATATCCCTACAGACAAGAGAAAGAACAATTCATCCCATCTAAGGTATACAGAGCTCATATGTTGCACGGAAGTCCTATACTGCTGAGGCTCCTCATTTAAGTGACTGAAATTACAAGGGATAAATTTGGCCTCTGTTCAAATGCTTGAATTTTAAATCTGAAGTGGCTCAGTTGAGTGGACAGACTGTTCTGTAAACTCAAGGCACAGCAGTAAAAAACTCTGCTGAAGAATCCCTAGTTCCATGCTGGTATCAGACTAGCCTGTGGGACTCAAGATAATGCTTGTCTTAGTAAAACAAGAGTGTGACCATTAATTAATTGGTTTTATCTTTTGATATACTGCAATACACCATGTTAGCTTGTTTTCCTAAAAGTCTAGCTAATAATCCCTTTTTTACTTCCAGTGATTTTGGTTTCATGGGTTGTAGTTTTGGACGTTATTTTTAGTATCTCTTTTAGCACACAATCTTTAAAAGTAAAAAAATTACCATACAGCTGTACAGAGATCCAAGGAGTCTTGAGAAACCTTGTCAGGGTATCAAGCTAAGTCACTTACTTGACCAAGGATAGAGTATTTTTATTATTCCTTTCCTAACTCCTCTCTCTCAGAACTCATCATCTTTTCAGTGAGAAACTCTATAAAATTACTTTGCATCACTGTAAGAGTATGCAAGAGAAACTTTGTGAGCAGCTTTTAATAGTTCTGGGAGAATTGTTCTTCCTCCATGCACACCGCATTAAATACGAAATTAAAATTACAGTAGCAGGTTTGCAGGTGGTTTGCTGGTTTGGTGGTTTTTAAAATCTAAAGGAAACCAGTAATTCCAGTCATGCTGCCCTGCCTTATGCAATATAAACAACTCTTGGAAAAAAAGAAGGTGTTTTATGGGCATATTATGCAACCATTTCCTACAAATTGTTAACAGGGCTACCTGTGCTGGTCTGAGAAGAAAACAAGAGACTAAGAAATACATTCCATTTGGCATTAGAATGTATTCACCATTAAGTTTTTAGTAACAATTAATTATAAGAACTTGTTCAAATGCCTCAAAGATTTAAGTCACAGAGACAACTCTGAGAAAAGTAAAGCACAATAATACAGCAGTTCTTTTTTTTTGTAGCTGAGTAGTAGTATTAGGTAGATTATCATATGTTTTCACACTTTATCTTCCTTGGGACACAGCACATGTATGGAAAGAAGGCATATAATGGGCAACACGTGACATGCCTTCTTTCCTTTATATTTACATACAGAATTTGGTTTTAGAGCTTCCAGCATTTGTTACAGAGACTCAAGCCTCTCTTGTGCAAGGATATTGGCAGCTCATAATATGTAAAATAATTCATCACAAATTGTTTCTTACCACAGCAATTGCAGTTTTAAAACAGAAACAACTGTCAACCTTTGCCTTTCTTACAGAAAAGGATACATATAGATTTATCAGCTCTGTGATCTCACTTTTTCTAGCCATTTTGGGAGGCTTGGTGCATTTTAAGCAGAGAAAAATTTGTAGTTCAGTCTCAGTTAAAAGACACAGGGTAATAAATACATGCAGTCTACTATCTAAAGCTTTCAATTCTAAGTAGTACAATATTGTACTGATTCAAGACTAATGGACTGATCAACATTCAATTTAGAGAAAAAAAAACAAAACCCACATGCTAAGGCCCACCTTATTGTGCTTAATTCCAATTTAAGTATTTCAGTTACAATCCAGCCCTGTTAAGAGATATTTTCACAAAGAAACGCACAGATTTTCATTACATATAATATTCAGGAACAGCTGATTTTAAGATGCATTTGGTAGTGTTTTCAGTACTATTTTACAGAGTCAGCTTAACACACTGAACAGATTCTCATATACAAAAGATGGAATACAAAACATCAGCACACTATACATATACACAGACATAATGCTTTTTTAGACTTAGAATGACTGCAGTGCCAATATGCTTTACATTTACTAGAAGTAAATTTACCTTATCCCAATAGCAAGTCAGATCCTGAACATGAAGAATGACATTCTCATTATTACTGTGCAGTTGTGGCTTGAAGTGGGAGACCTCATCAAGTATCAGAAAGTTCTGCAATAAAAGAAGAACAGGGAAGAAAAAGAACAGAGAGAATCCTATTGTGAGACTGAGGAAGGAAAGAGAACCCAAGCACGTATTTTTGGAAGCAGCATACGAACATTAAGGGAGCAAGGGACCAATCACAAACTGATCAAGGAACTGCACTTCCAAAACAATGCACAACTGCTTCAATGGTGTACCTCTAGCTAGCTGTCCTCTCCAAAAAACCCAAAAGTGCAGATTTAATAGCATTAAAATACTACAGGACTCTAAGAACCATCTGCTCAATAAAATAGAATTCCTGAAGCAAATGGACTGCAAGAACCCACCACCCTGTCTTCTCCTTGGAATGCTGACATAAAATTGTTTGACTCCCTCCCTTCATGCAAGAAGTGAAAACTTCACTGCAACACCTTAGCATTCCACTGCTTTGATGGTAAAAGGTTTATGTTGTTTTGCTCAGAAGAACAGTGAGAACATGATAAGAAGCTGTTAACTGCCCTTATTAAGCATTCTCCAAGTGACAAAGGCGGCTGCAGATCACCCAACCTCTCTCTCCTTTTAAAGTCCAGGGCATCAACCAGAAAAAAAAAAATTAAATTGCTTATGTCTGCATAACTGGTTCATTGCACTTTCACTTCTGCATTATAGCCCAGTTAGACAACCTTTTCTCCAAGCTGCATGAACATGCACTTTTGTCTCACAGCCACAGTTCTAGCACACCTTTCCTGATGCCTCATTTATTAATAGCTCAAACACGTTCAGAAAGGAAAGGGGTAAATTCTAGAGAAAACTTTCAAGGGTAAGAGTTAACACGATTTTAAGACAAAACCAGAAAAATTCTATCATGCTTTGAATCACAAACCTTAAATAGGCTCTAGCAGACAATATTTGAGAAAAGAAGGAAGATCTTGATCTTAGCAGCCAAGACTTAACAAGTTAACTAACTTAGCTTGTTAAGAAGTTAACTGAGCTAACAATTTGCAGACATGAGATAGCTGCTGAAGTCCTACACTGAGTAACTAAGAGGAAGCAGAATCATATAATAGTTTGGGTTGGAAGGGACCTTCAAAGGTCATCTAGTCTAACTCCCCTGCAATGAGCAGGGACATCTTCAACTATCTGTACACATGTTCCTCTTACTTCAAAAATGTCTACACCACCTTTTTCCAAGTACACTTTTCTCCTACATTTCAGACAGCCCTAGAGTGCATGTCACGTTTTTGCACGCGCACACACGGCAACACATTCAGTTTTCTAAAAACAGGTTGTTTCATTCAAAATCCAACTGCAAAACTAAAATAAGGCTGGTTTTGTCCGTGACATTAAAACAACATTCGAGTAAGAAAAGAAATCCACATACCACCCAAATCGATAACCATACCTTGATTCGTCGTATGCTAACCACTGCCTCAGATACTCTCTCAACAGCTGCAGGGAAGAACAGCGTTACTGTCAGCCTTACTGCGCCATACAGGGACACTGCAACAAACACCCGACTTGCAGAGATAACATTGCCAAGTAGTACATATGCCATGAAAGTCATGAACACTGTGATTTTGCTTGCCACAAAGAAGGAGGCTAAGTTCAGTCCTCGGAGGTAGGAGCTTTTCATAATCATGGCAATCTCCTTCCTAAAAATGCAAAATACAAACAGTCATATCAACCTCTCTCGTTAGAATTGCCCTCAACAACCAGGTGATGGAAAACAACTCCCAGGAATTTATTTTTGTATCCTTTCTCCTCTCCTTGGACCCCCCAACTCACATGTAAAGAACTGTAATGTATGTTACATGGTAAATAATAAAAGACAACTTAAAAGGCTTAGAAATCGAGTGGGGAAAATGATTATATTTAATATCTTTGTAGTTATAGAAAATAGCTATGTTTTGGAGACAGAAAACCAAAATACTCTTTTGCTTTTATTTTTTTGCTTTGGTCAAACAAGTATTTAATTCAGATTCTAATTTGCTCTGAATCTTTCTGGGTTGCATACAACAGTAAAGAGGAAAAAAACTCGGTATAAAAGCCAAGCACCCACAAACTCTTTATTCTTTCAATAACAAAATCCAGTAGAGCTCAGTCACAAAACTGTTAAGATCAACACATATGCGGGAGTTGAAAAAACAGGGCAGCTTCCAGAAGATCGAGAGTTCACCTATGGCCCAAGTGTGGTCATGATTTTCACATGCTGACCTGTGGTACTCCCCATAAAAATAATCTGCCATTATTCAGCTGCTGCTCAAGATGGATCACAGTACTTGCAGTATTTCCTTTGATGTCAGTCTAAAACCTGTGATTTGGACCCTGCTCCTGGCTTTGTTCTCTCTAGGAATTCAGGTTCAGAATTCAGACAATACTGATCTGTGAGGCCAATTGTTCTGCCAGCCTTTACCCAAGCTAAAGAGTGACTGAAGTACTACTGCACAGACACATAAGACTCCCTCCAGCAACTGAAAAGCTGCTGATGTGTACACTCTAAATTTCCACTTCAGTTAAATTTCAGTTTCCACTTCTAAATGACTCATCAAGTCCAATCCTCAAAATGTTACTGCATTATCTACAATGTGGATGCCATCAGGCTTAACTTCTTATTAAAATAATAGTTTTTCTTTATCAAGAGAGCCATAATAACTTACTCCTTCCGCATGTATTCTCACTTTACCTGCTCGAAATAGTATAGAATACAAAATCCTGAAACAATTCCTAATTTCTCTTCCCAAACATTCTGGCAATTCTCAGGGAAATTCTTGATCATTTTGATTACCTTCCACTTGGAACTATATAGTAAGATTAGAAACTCAAGTTATGATGACACAATTTGAAGTAAATTAAGTTTTCACTTAATGGAGAGAAGGATGCAAGATGCTCTACTGGAAAACTAGTTAAGCAACTTTCTCACTATACTTGCCAAATTGGCTGAATTGACAGACTTTCAGAGTTTCAAAGACATTTTTTCAGCTTAAGGGCTCACAATCTCTGATCTCCAGAGTACAGTGAAAGAACACTTGTATGTAAACTATTTGAACTGGGTCTAATTCAATTACTTCTACAATCCTGGATGAAACATTTTTCCCACCCTCTAATAATCCTTAATAATCCTCTCTACTATCTGTGAATAATCAGCAAGTTCTTTGTGCTACTCTCCATAAAAATCAGATAAATTACAGCCTACCCACAGGCTGTATATAATACACTACACTGTCTTAGGGCACAAAAGAAGCCAATATGGACAGCCACAGGAAAAAAAGAGCAACGGAGGAGCTCAGATGTCACCTTAGCAACTGTCAAGGGTGACTGTAGAAACACTGGGCAATAAATCACCTGGCTGCATTGAAGACTTTTAACTACAGTTTTCCATAGCACAGTTATAGAAAAAAAGAGGGCTCAAGATGTGTTTTGGAAGAGCATCTTTCTCTCCATCATTAAAAGGAAGCCTCTAACCCTAATGACATGTTGGACTTGGAAATCCAAAGTTTAGTGATGTGAATACGTCCACTGAGGAAGCTTTCAATAAAGAAATATCCTCTCTGGCTTCACACAAGACAGCAAAGCTTTCAATCAATCAAAAGCATTCAATCAGCACATGATCCTAATATCTGAAGGAGGAAATTATTATGTGCATGGGAAGCAATGTCTCAGGGAACATTGGCAAGTTTGCAAGCCTGGACATGGATGTAAATGAAAAAAATTCCTTTAAAAAAGAAGAATTCCCAGTAAAACAAATAAAAAAAAAAAAAAAAAAAACCAAAAAAAAAAAAATCAAGAGAATCTACAGCAGGATAACAACCTTCTACTCGTGCTGGAGAAGGACATAATATGAAAATTAAATGATGAAAATACACACCTGAACTAGTTATTCTTTAGTACTGAATGCTCTCATACTGTTAAGTAAAAGCACAAATATTGACTGAAAACAGAATTTATGAATAAGTTTTCATCAGATACTGATGGACCTCTGAAATGAAATGTCTTAGGATACCAACAGGGAATTTCTGAACTTCTGTCTCTCCCCTCCACCTTCCCAGATGGCTTGAGCAATACTTCAAAACACAGAAAGGGAAGTACTTCCTGCAGATGCTATCATTTAGGACAGAAAGTCAGATTTCATATATTTCTCAGGAGAGAAATGTCTTGCTTATTGGTTACTTGTTAATAGTTTATGGAACTGGGGATGAAATTGTTTAATTACAACTACTACAGTTTATTAGTTGCTGGTTTTAAACACAGCCATAAAAGGAAGCACAAATCCCCCACAATCTATAAATATTAGAGGTTATTTTTCTTTTTCTGTCCCATTAGATTATATTATATTTCACTCTAAAACTACAGAAAGTTCTAAAATTAAAAAAAAAAAAAAAGTCAAAGAAGTTCAAGTAAACTGCACTTTAAAGCACAAAATAATACAATTATTGACATGTAAAAAATGCAAACAGATGTTGATTATATACCAAGCTGTATCTTTCCAGGATTACCTTCTTAAACCATTCACAAGTTCCGCAAACGATTTTTCCCAAGCATACATCTTTATTATCTTCATACCGCTTATGACTTCATTCATGGTCCTAATTCTGACATCTGTTAAGGCAGCTGTCTTGCTTCTGTAAGTAGCACAAAGTAAAAATTCTCAGATTCTTAAAAGAAGAGTATTTACGATGGCATAACATACTCCTATTAATGAAGTTTCTGCTTTGACTTATATAGAGGATTCATATAACTGTAATTACACTGAAGGGTCTTCCTAAAACAGCATCTTAAATCTGACACATAGCAGACAGATTTGGTGTACCTGTATTCCTGGTATCCCCTGTTCTCAGGGAACTAAGTTGATTTAATGTTCAGAATTATATGCCAGCTTGCACAAACACACGGTATTCTCTGAACTACATATTTGGGTACCAAAAAAAAAAAAAAAAACCTCAAAAGAAAAAAACCAATTATAAAATTTAGAACTAAGCAAAAAAACAGAAAATTACTTTTAAAAATTATTTTGAAAAGCTAGAATAACATTCCTCCCCATAAGGCTCTTTTGATGTTGTTCAAGAAACTTGGCATCTGTGTGTGTCTTTTTGAGATTAACTCAAAAGCAAAGATTACTTAGTAACAGTACATGAGCTATAATTTAGGAGAGCTAATCTAGATATGGCTTTAATAAATTAATATTATTTAAGCATTAACTGCAATTAACACTAAAGTAAATAATCTATTTAAGTTCCACATTATGTTTGCACTGATGAACAAACGGGAAAAATATATAATTAAATAATAAAGTCACAGTTTTAATTAGGAAAAAGCATTGAGAGTTAGAAGCCACATAATGAATGCACAAACCATGCTAATAAAGCCTATTACAATTCTGAATTCACTCATGTAGACAAGCATACTTCACACATAGTGAGCTAAGGTAGGCCTTATTTTGATAAAGCACACCTTTCCCTGATGGATTTCTTATTTTTATATATACCAATGAAAGTTAAGATTCAGAGATCATATTTAAAATAAAAATAAAATAATACACTTTTTAAAAGCTCTCTAGAAGGGATAAGCTGGGTTTTGTCCTGCTTAACCTGCCCCCTGTAAGATTTCTCTGATGCTCTGGAAGAAATAGCAATGTTTAAAACACTTAAGTAGAAAGAATTTCAGGCGTCTGCTCATTATTTACACAAAACTTCTCAGCACTGGTGTTGTATAATCATTAGGATGGCTGAAGCAGGGTATTTATGCAAGAAGAAATATTTATACAAGAAAATTGACAAAAGAAATGTAGAAACTTGGCCCTAATACAATCAAGATTTCTTATTAAGACTGAGGAATACAGTTTTGCCTACACCAACTATACTGACATGGACCAATATTATCTCTGCTGAATTCTCTTTCCC